ATACATTATTAGCAAACAAAATATCACCATACTACACAGTATCGATTTTTTCCCCCACCCCTAGTTTTTATTATTATTAACAATCTTTGTCTAGTTTCTCTGACCTGCATGGACTAAATCCAGGTGCTGCTGCTCTTCAGCCTGACCTTTAATTCTTTGTGATTCCAAGTATTTCTCAAAATGTATTTTAGAAGCACAACCTTAAATCTTTGAAGCGTAAAAAATGATGTTTGAATGAGGTGCGTGAGACGAATGTTTCCTCCGGTGGTCAAGAACACTGGTTGAACTGAACAGGCTGGGAATTATGTGCTTCCATGAGACTGAATCCTTTCTTGGAATTTTGAGTTACCCTGATTGTTCCGAAAGACGCAGCATTATTTCATTTTTATAAGAAACTTTTCCTGGAAATCCAAAGAGTCGCTTCTTCAATCCAGGAAAACACACTGTAGGACACACACACTCCTATAACAAGTTTTAGTAAAGTGTAGAATTACTGCCTCGTAATTAGACGCATCAGCCAACCTGCTGCGGTTTATATTTATTGCCTTTCCAGATTATAAAACACATGTAACGAGGCCCTTGAAGGGATTTCACAGGTGGCCACCGAATCAGTATTCAAACAATTGTGAAAGAAGGTCAAAGTCTCGCCTTCTGTTCCCGAGTTGTGTGCTTTTGCAGAACGCCGTCGCAGTAAAACGACCTGTGAACTTTTTGTAAATGTTAAAACTCTGAGACGTTTGGCTCAAGCGGATGAATTCCTGAGTTATGTTTTGTCAGGTCAAAGTGACCGTTGACTGTCAAAGTCCATTTTAGAATCCAGACGATCGGACGATCACATCACCGGCATGCAGAACAGAGAGCAGGAGGAGGGAGGGGGTGGTAGGGACGTAACAACAGGTACACAAACAAAATGAAATGTCTATAATACCTATAAATTTAAAGTTTTTCATATAGTTTCCATTTGTAAACTACTTCTGATTCATTAACAGGTGTGAAAGTTTCAGTACTCGTCCTACAAGAATCCAAAGCCTTCTCCTGCATCTCTGGACACAGCTGCTGTCTTTAGATCATTGAAGCCCTCATGTGTCTCCTC